CATGGGAAGGACTGGATATAGCAAACAGCTCTGAGCCATTGTTGAACATTAACTGTTACGCCCCTGAAGATGTGGTCCAATTTTGGAAAAGATCGTTTTGCTTTGGGTTGATGTGGGTGATACCCATGCAGTATATCAGGATGACGTGTATGTACCATGTGCTGAGAATTCAGAGACAGAGGGATTTTGTCTCCAATTTTAAGAGTCCTTACATTATGAGCACTAGCTTGTCTCATGGTACCAACACTTTTATTGTGTATACATTATGAATATTAAAAATTCATCTTGCAATGAACCTAACCTTTTACATTATGAAGTCTCAGAAGATGAGGGAAAGAAATAAATGTAAAGCATTCTACTGTTGTGGAATATTACTTTAACTATGTAAAGGTGTGCTACATTTGTTTATGCTGCATTTGTTTAATGATGTAAAGATGTGTTGCTTTGCCTGCCCAAGGCACCTGATTGGCCTAATGAAAAACTAAATGGCCAATAGCTTGGCAGAGGAGGGGTAGGCTGGGCTGGCGAGCAGAGAGAATAAGTAAGGGGAAGTAAGGAGAGGAATTTAGGCTTAAAAAGTAAAGAGAGAGAGAGAACGAGGGAGAAAGAGAGGAAGATGCCCAGGGCCAACCAGTCAGCCAGGTAGCCGCCAGTCAGACAGACATGGAGTAGGACATACAGAATGAAAGAAAGGTAAAAGCCCTGAGACAAAATGTAGATGAAGAGAAACAGGGTAACATAAGCTGTGAGAGATAGTGGGACAAGCATAAGGCAAGGCCAGCCATTCATAAATAATAATAAGTCTCTGTGTCATGATTTGGGGGGCTGGCAGTCCAAGAAAGCCTGCTACATTCTACACAAGGCTGAGCACACTGTAAGTGGTCCTGGATAGTACATACTGTTTTCACTGTTCATGAGAAATAACTCTATACAGCGCTCTGCCATTCTGAGAGACTCCACACAGGCTCTCAGGGGACTGTTTACACCTAGACCTGTGCTTCTCAGGGTGTGGCCCTAGGACCAGCAGCAGCAGTATTGGAATTTGTTAAGGGTACAGATTCTGGGTCTCAACCCTAGACCTGCTGAGTAAGAAACTGTGAGGATGGGATGGACCAAGATTTTCAGGTGATTCTGAGCCAGGCTTCTTAGCCTTGTTTAATAAGGAAGCAGCAATGAGAACAGAGTTTAAAAAAACCCTTCAGCCATGTTTACAGATGCCTGTCGGTCTTAAAATCTTGATCCAATAAGCAACCTCTAATAGCTCTTTTGTTTTTCTTATTATTTTTTTTCCTGGCACATTATGTGTTAATAACTCTCTTGAGTAAGACAACACCACACAGACTAAAATACATTTATCATTTGTTGAAAATGACTCCTACTGGTTTACTTCTCCTTACATAATGTAGGTGACTTCTATAGAGATTCCCTTCAGAAAAACCAGTGAGATGCAATCTACTTTTCTGAGTGGTCCATTGACTTCATGACCATGGGGAGAGGTTAAGTTCTTCTTGTTATGATACTTATTGGATGGAAGCATTTTGCATCCAATACTTACTGAAATCGAGTCACGTTTCACATTTACAATCGATCAATGGGGCTGAGAAGGGCAGAAAACTAATGGAAGGTGTTCGGCAGATGTTTGTATCCCCCAACAACCCTGTCTCGGAACTCTGACAACAGTGTTGAAAGAAGAAACCAAATAAATTGAAGGCAGTGAGAATATCACAAGGCCAGAATATAAATATACACCGAGGGAGAGGTAAATGATAATAATTCTCATTTTTGCAGAATATTCTGGGTGCTACTTTCTTGCCATGACAAAATGAAAAAATAACTTATATCTATGCATCTCCTTGCCTTGTACTCATAATTCTTTAAGGGATGTATCTGCAGTCAATTAGGTCAAATAAGCAAAGCCAGTGTGTGGCAAGCCCTGGGACCCCTCTATCAGGAAACAGACTCGACATTCAGAGAACATTCCAACCCTGCTTAGCCCTACAGCTCACGAGAGGTGGACTTTCCCCTGTACAGACAGAACTGTCTTTCTATAGATTGTGGGGTTTAGAAGCAAAGAGCTTGTAGATGTGTATGTCTAACAAAAAATAGGTTAAAATGATTTTTGTCTTTTGTTCCTTTCCATTCAAAAGAATACTTTAAGGTTTTCTTATCAATACAGTTACCCACCTGTGGTGAACCGATGTCCCTAAGCCTTCAGTGACCCTGGCCCTGTTGCTTCTTGGCACTGATGTTCAGAGCCCCATGTCTCCTCTGGCCCAGATTTCAGGGGGATCGTGCATTAGCATGTCCTCCCCTTCCCTACCTGCAACTAGAATACCATGTCTTCTGGGCATGTCCACATCCTGCCAGCTCAGGAAGTAGGTTCTTCAGTCTGGCATGAGAACTTTCCCTATGGCTGTAAAGCCTTCAGCTTGAAGTATTCAATGAATATGATTTTTCTGTAACATTCTTGTACATACTACTAATAAAAAGAAAAAATGATAATTCATGTGAAGCTATGGGTAAGAAGACCCCACCCTCAGCTTATACAAGCTAACTTATTAACAAGTGTTGAGCTAGCACAAGCCCTATAACAATATGACACAATGTACCAAAGTTAAAAGAGGTATATTTGAGGTACTTTCTGTCCAAAGTGGGTAACTTGGACAGTTATCTATTTTCACAAGACTCTCTAGTTGGGCCAGTATTTCATACAGTTTTAACTGCTTCATATAGGCACACGACAAACACATCCTCATCCATCTTCCTCCAGAGAGCTTCCCCACCCTCCATCAGGTCAGTTACACCATCTGTGCATTCCTGCAGCTTATATGATGTTCACACCTCCATTATACTGCCACTTCCCTCTGTCAGGCTGGGCCAGCCTCGGAATGAGACTGTAGATTTCGTCTCTCAGTTCCCAGAGTCATAGAACAGTACAGACTGTGTAAGCCACGGAAGTTCAGTCGGTGGACAAGTGGTGTGCTGTTGAATGTGGCTGGGCATTACAACGCTGTGCAGTGTCTTGCTGGAGGTCAGGCCTAGTGAAGGTGACCCAAGAGTGGCTGCTAACGGGGCTCTTTATTGTGGAGGAACTGTGATTGTTTTTAAGATCCCGGTCAGTCGGTCTTGATCATTAGAATGTACGTGTCTCATCATGAGAAGGACGGAGAGCTTGGCAATTGAGATTTCAGCCCAGCAGCCTCCAGGGACCAAGATACTATGTGGGGGAAATCTTGATCCTGCTGACAGAAGCTGAGAAGAAAGCCCAGGCATGTGCTTCAGGATGTGACAGGAGCGAGTTTGGAACATTCTGTCTGGCTTGCTGTGGATGAAAAAAGAAATAAGAAAAACAAACCAAGGCCTTTGTTCCTTTGCTTCGGTTCCGTAGATCCTCCGTGTGAGGAGAGGTAGTGAACCCCGACAGCCTCGACAAACTTGTGCGGCACTGGAAGGTTTAAAAATGATTTAAAGACATGAAAATGGAAGAGGGTGCTGGGTGGAAAGAGAAAAGGGGGTCATTGGAAGGGGAGGGGGCAATGAAGGAAGTGGATGTGATTAAGATATATTATGCATGTGTATGAAAATGTCATGATGAGATCTGTTGTGTATTTTTAATGCATGCTAATAATATAACAAATTTTGAAAGTGCTTTCACAAAGGACTTGCTCCCCGACTTAGAAACCTGAACTGCCCAGCCTCTCGTCTCCCGACCCGCACCTGCCCGTCCTGCGCTATAGAACCACCTCCCCGAGTCTTGCTTTGTTTTCCATTCACAACTCTCCAGACCAGCATGCTCATGATTCCAATGATGTGCCTCTCTAGAAATGTCACCTGGAGCTCATGGTAGTCCTCCTGCCTCAGGCTCCAGTGTGCTGAGATTACAGGCATGAGGCCACCACACCCAGCTTCCCAATAGACTAGTCTTGTTCAGATTGCTGAAACAGCGTCTCAGAATCCTTGCCACATCACCGGACACCTCTGTTTATTTTCCTGAAGTGTACCTAAAGCCATGTCACCCCCTGCTGGAGAGCCAGGCCACCGCCTTATCACCCCTCTGCTCTGTCTTTCCCCTGCCTTTTCTACTCTGCATTTTGTTACAGTTCTGCTGTGGGTCTGTCTGTTCTGCTAGCCTGCTCTACATTGGCCCATTGATGGGCTGTGGCTCCTGCATCTGCTTTCAGCCAAGCTGACTGCTGTGTGCTGCAGGCCTGCAGTGTGGGCCCCTGGCTTCCTCTCCATCACCCCAACACCCCCTTTATAGGGTTCTGTGATGATGACATGAAGAAAGTCCTTAGACAAGCTCCAGCAGGCTGCTAGTGGCTGTCACTATTATTAGGACTTTTCAAGACTAAGTTTTAAGCAAAACCTTCTGTATTTTCCTATTAGATTCAATTTCTTTAAGCTTTTATAGTTCTCTGAATGGCATGTAGCAGAAAATGTCCTGCCTTAGCATAGTGTGTGAGTTTATTTGGACTCTACTGGACATACACTAATCAAATAGATTAAATTTAATTATTATTGTATATACTCTGAACCATCTTCTGCAGTACCTGGAACACAGAGGAACTTAATAAATACTGGCTAAGTTAAAATAATGTCTTTGCTATTTTACAGCCATGTTCCACTGGGCTGGATAGATGGTTCCATGGTTCAAAGTGCAGACTGCTCACATAGAGAACCTACCTACCTTAGTTCAGTTCCCAGTGCCCAAGTCAGATGGCTTACAATTGCCTAGGGATCTGACACCCTCTTCTGGCCTCTGAGGACACTGCATTCATGTTCACATACCTACACATAGATACACAAACACATACTCAATAAAAATTAGCAAAAATACATCTTTAAAATTGATTTTCACAAGTTGAGAAAAACCTGTGTGACATGAAAAAAATGAACCAAAGGGCTTGACAGAATAGATGATCCCAGGGAAGGACACAGAGCTGAGTGTTTCTGGAGCCCTGACACGTGTGCCCCAATGATGTCCTTTGTCCTTGCTGCAGGTCTGCGTGGTGGCCTACCTTGGACTGTTCATGCTTTGTGTCTCATATCAAGTTGATGAGAGAACATGTGTCCAGTTCTCAATGAAAGTAAGTTGTTTCTCCTTTTTTCAGAATCATTACACATAGGAAGAAATGTGAGCACAAAAGAAGAGGGCTTCTCAAGTGTTCCATGTCTGACGAGTTTAGAAACTTCGCTTTCAGGCAGTCCAAACATGTTTTAAGAGGATATTGGTCCAGACACAGAGGTAATGCTGGTCCTTTTAATTAATTTCCATGAGTTAGGTTGTTCCTAGAGCACATGAAGTGGGACCTTTAATGTCCCAAAAAGGAATATTGAACAGTCATCAGTTCAAGGAAACACTTGGCCAGGGAAAGGTGTCTCTTTGGGTGCCCACTTCCGTATCTTGTGGTTATTTGGAATATTTCAATAATGAAACAATTTGAGTGTTTCCCCTTGTAGGTGGGAGCACCAAGACAGAAAAGGAACATTGGCCAAATCCAGTGGGTCCTGCCATTAGTCTGTGGGAAATGGCTAGGCTACGCAGGGCTTGGCAATTCTCTCTTTCATTATTATGAACTTTTTGTCTGTTGTGGACAGGTGCATTTGGTTGTAGTCTGTTAAAGTACACAGCACCTTGCTCCACAAATATAGTCTCCAGATTATACTTAACTTAAACATTTAAACAGAGACTTACACACCTCCCTCAGAGGTGAGGAACATAAAACAAACTGAGCAGCTTGGCTGGTGGATTTCACTCAGTGCCATAGCCAAGGATGAAGAATGTTCTGTATGTTTCTCTTGCCCATCTGTAGTTGACTTTTCTTCTAGGCATGTTCTTTGCTACAATCAGGAAACATGAAGCCCAAGAATAAGTCAACAATGTCATTTAAAAACCACAAAGATAAAAAATAGGATGTGTTTAAAATGTGGGGATGTAGCTCCGTTGGTTCAGTGCTTGCCTAGCATGGACTCCCAGCACCAAATAAATGGAACATGGTGGCACATGACTGACTAATCTTACCACTCATTAAGCAGAAACAAGGGGATCAGAAGTTCAAAAGTTCAAGGCCAGCCTCAGCCATGTACTGAGTTGGAGACCAGCTGAGCTACATGGAATCCTGTCTCAAAAGAAGGAGGAAGAGGAGAAGGAAAAGGAAAAAGAGGAGGAGGAGTTGAATGTCATACACTCAAAGATGGTGGTATAAAAAGCAGTGTGCTCACAATTTGAAGGACAGTTGTGAGCCACCATGTGGGTGTTGGAAACTGAACCTGGGTCCTCTGTAAGAATAGCAAGTGTTCTTCACCCCAAATCATCTCTCCAGCCCTGAAATGAACCTTCTTGATATGAGGGATTTTTGTTGTTGTTGTTGTTGTTGTTTTTAGAAGAAAGCAAGAGGGAGCAGACAGCAGTTCAGGCTCTTGTTTTTGATGAGTCTGACCAGATAACAAGACATGGTGATGCGAAGAAGGAAAGAAAGGAAAAGAACAAGAAAGCCAAAAACCCAGTGAGAAATAGCTTGCTAAGTCTCAGGAGAGTCCTCCAGCAGGTAGGAGTGTTCTGATGTGGATCATATCCAGGCGTGAGAGCACGCTGACTTCCTCACTCCTTCCTGATTCCTGAAAAAGGCAGAGATGAAGCCTCCCTTTCAGTGAGTCTCCCTGTCAGGCATCTCAACATCTGTCCATTAAAAAAAAAAGAAAGAAAAAGAAAAACAGGGATGAGGAAGAAAAAGAAGAAGAAGAGGAATGGCAGTCGGTGTCGGGCTGGCTGCAGACCATGCTGAGAGAGCCTCCTTTGCTCTTTCCTTTCTTCAGCAAGACAGACACTGACTGACAGACAGACAGACAGTCCCTTCCTCCTCCCTGAAGGGGACCTTCAGCCAGGCTGCTGCCAGCAGTCTTTCTGTGGCATCTTTGTTCCAGAAAGAGCTTTGTCCAGGCTCCAGCAGGGCACGGCTCATGCTGTGCTTCCCATGGTGGTTTAGGGAGGATGAAATGGGCCTTAGGAGGGGCTGGTCACCACATGGCTGCATTTTAGCCCTCTTTCCCCGGGCTAAGCTTTTTAGTTTATGTTCTCTTATTGGGCACCTAGATAGACAGGACAAGTCACCATGCTATGGTGAAGGAGTCTTCTTGTACAAACACACACTCACATACACAAACTCACACATCTGCACGCACACACACACACACACACAAACACACACACATACACATTGTGGTGGTCTGAAAGAAAATGGCCCCCAAAGGGAGTGGCATTATGAGGTGGTGTGGCCTTGTTGGAGGAAGTGTGTCACTGTGGGGGCGGGCTTTGAGGTCTCTTTTCTCAAGCTTCATTCAGTGTGATACCTAGTTGACTTCCTGTTGCCTCTGAGTCAGGATGTAGCACTCTCAGCTCCAGCACCACATCTGCCTGCATGTAGCAACGCTCCCTGCCATGATGACGTCTGAAACTGTAAGGAAGGGCCTCAATTAAATGTTTTTATTTATAAGAGTTGCTGTGGTCATGGTGTCTCTTCACAGCAATAAAAAACCCTAAGACACTCATATACAAACACTCGCACACACTCACACATATACAAACACACACACAAACACATACACACACTCATACTCACACACAAAACAAACACACAACACACAAGCACATATATGAATACACAGACACACAAAACCACATACACATACACAAACTCACACACAAATACACACACATACACAAAACACAAATATTCACACACAAACACACACACACTCACAACAAACACACACAAGCACACACTCACAACAAACACACACTCCCCTGCTCTTAGACCTGGAGACTACTAGCACTTTCCTGGCTTTTCCCCTGGACTCTCTGCCTCTGGTCCTGGCAGGTCGCTGGGTGTGGACCTTCCCACGTCCCTCTGGGTGTACCCCTTTTTCTGAGTGCTCTCCTGCATTTGCAGAACCTACAGACAGCTTGCTGGCAGTTCCTCAGACTGCTCAGTGGCAGACACTTCCCCAGCAGCAGAGAGGCCTTACCGTTCTGGCCAAGGGGGAGACAGTAATCTAACCAGAACTCCCCTCCTCCCAGAGAAGCCAACTGGGGAAGTCTCAGCAGGTTCCAGAGGCAGCAGGTCAGGAGCAAGCCCGGGGATTACAGAGCTGGCCTCTGGGGACATTCTACGGGGACACCCACACAGGCTGCTGTCATCTCCAAGGTCATTCCACACACCTGCCTTCATTGACAGTTTATTTCTGTCATGTGGGCAAAACAGGCTGCCTGGCTTTAAATTGTGGGTTTTAATGCAGGAGCCTGTGGCTGTCAGGAAGGGGCCTTGCAGATGTCACCAGCAGGCTTGAGTATCTGTGACCTCAGACAAGAGGCTTTCCTGACTCTGATGTGTGCCCATGTGTCACTTTGCTAAGGGATGTGGCTTCTCTTCCCCTGTCCTTGAGCTGCTGGATTCTGCATATTTAAGGAGCTAGATTACAATGAAGCAACCTCTGTGTTTGTGTCAATGTTTATGCCCTTCTACAAGCCAAGTCCACATTGTTCCTCCCACGCAACAGAAAACAAGACAGACAGTAGAGCTGGTCCTGGGAGGTTCCTGGAAATGGCAGCATTCCGTCTCCGCTGGTTTAACTCCTGTGCCCTTGGGAGATATCTGCTCTTGATCCTTAGCGTGATACTATGAAGTCAGTCTAGAAGTATCACTCCAGACAGATTTGCAGGTAAAGAGATAACGGTTAATATGTCCAAAAGATGAGCCCCCAGGTAGCATTCCGGAGCAAAGCCTTAATTAGGTGGTCTGGCCTGCTGGCTCATGTCCTTCACTGTTGTGTGCTTGTTAAATGGTCTTTGGCAAATAAATATCTGAGCTAAAATGTATCATTAAATTTTTTTAAAATTATATTTTATTTATCTCTTTTCTGTGTGTGTATGTGCTATGATGTGTGTGTACAGGCCAGGGTGCATCTTGCAGGGTGTGCTCTCCCCTCCACCATGTGGGTTCTAGGTATTGAACTCGGGTCCTCGGGCCTGGTGGCAGGAGCCTTTACCCACTAAGCCATCTTGCCAGCCCTGTTTTCTTTAAAATACACAAACTTCTTATTGTCAGCAAATGGTCTTTCCCATAGTAAGTGTTATAAACAGCTACCATTTAAGGACATGTGTGTGCATCTGGGTGTGATTGTGAATGTGTGCACAAGGCAGGGTATGCAGGAGACAGAAGAGCAACTGTAGGATCTGTCTGCTGGTGGCCAAAAGTAAAAAATAAAATGGTGTGGCAGAATTTCACTCTGGGGCTGTTCTACTGAGTGGATGGCTACCCAAAGGGAAGTGACCATTTTTAACTGGGGTTCCTCCTGCTAGCAGTCACACGTGGCCAGCATAAACTGGCTCCCCATACCCGGAATTTAAATTCAATCACCAAGTCCAAAGATTTCAGAATAATCCACAATATTTTCAATATTCTACGCCATTAGCCTTACACAATAAATCCATATTTTGAAGTCTAAACACACCAAGTCTACATAAATATTGTCACTGAATGTTCTGGGGACAGGACCGAAGCAGTCCTTTTAATATCACAAATTAAATAAAACCTTTCTAATTTTATAATGATGCCACTTTGCACTTCCCTGATTTTCCCCTCCAAGGAACACTAAACATGTCAAGTACAAATTATTCCTGTTATGTTTCTAAGATACAAGATGCTTTATCTGGCATGATGATACCTGCCTGAAATCCCAGCCCCTGATGGGAGGAGGCAGGAGGATCAGGAGTTCAGGGCTGGCCTCAGCCACACATCAGAACTGCTCTCGGTAAGGAGTGGCTTTTGTCTGTGTGGCAGCATAAATCTTGCCCTACAACCTGTAGGCACTAGTCCCAAAGTCCAGTCTTTATCTGGACCCCAACAGGTGGACCACGAAGAGAGCTGTGTCTGGTGTGACTTTAGTCCCAAGAGCATCTCTTGTGCTGCACAGGGAATTTTATTGTGGCCTTGTTGGTGAGAACCCACAACTTTTGGGCACAATGTTCCCCAAGTAAGTAAAGTAAACCAGAGACGTTTATGGAGAGTCCACAATTCCTTCCCAGCAGAGCTAGAACTTTAACCAGCATGACCAATCCCGGGGCTGCCATGTAGGCCAAGTCACCTGCCTTCCATAGCCATCATTTATTTTTCTGCCCAGAGGCCTCTTGCTCGGGGGTCTTGACAATCATGGCTGTAGTATGGTAACTACCATATCAAATGCATTCTGTTGTTCATTAACCTTTATCACTAGTTGATCAACATGTAATAATTTTAACCAACATGGTGCTCGTATTACAGAAACCTGGCCTTTACTTTCCAATCTCATTTCCATCCTATGACTGGCAGTTCTCAATTTAAAAAATAAATGCTGTGTGTCATCTGGGAGAGAGGGCTTGTTCGGGATTCATTTACGTTTCCTGCTAAATCTAGACATAAACATCCCACAGTCAAGCCAACAGGTCATTGCAGGTCATGGAAAAAGCCAAGTACTGCATGAAAAATGGCATGCATAACTCTAAAGCTGGCCACGGTGGCACACACCTACAATGCCAGCACTTGAGCACAGGAGGGAGGAGCACTGGGAATTAAAGCCCGTCCTCAGCCTGGGGGACATGAGACCCTGTTGCAAAAATCCATCAGTCATCTAACTAATCAGCATGAAGTATATCTGTATCTTGGTATTACGGTTTGAGAGAACTCAGTAAAACCGTTCACTGGCCTGCTTTGCGGTCAGCCCATCTTCTCTGTAACAGAAGGCTTTTCTTCTCTGTTGCAGGTGCTCTACTTCCTGCTGAGTGCCCTGGGCCTGATGGTCTGCATGCTGGCCGTGGCGTTTGCCGCCCACCACTGTTCCCTGCTTGCACAGTTTACCTGTGAGACCTCCCTCGATTCTTGCCTGTGCAAACTGCCTTCCTCGGAGCCTCTCAGCAGGACCTTTGTTTACCGGGATGTGGCTGACTGTACCAGCATCACTGGCACATTCAAATTGTTCTTAATTATCCAGATGGTTCTAAACCTGGTCTGTGGCCTTGTGTGCTTGCTGGCTTGCTTTGTGATGTGGAAACACAGGTACCAGGTCTTTTATGTGGGTGTTGGGCTACGCTCCCTGATGACTTCTGATGGACAACAACAAAAGACCTAACAGCTTGACTCAGGCGTAGAGGCAGAAACAGAACCCTGGTTAGCCAAGGTGAAAAACACAATTTTTTAAAGGCAAACTTTTGACAACAAATGCTTATTCATTCTCTAAGTGAATATTTTTAGATTTTTCAGTGAACAAAAGAACTTTTTGTAGATATCTATTGTATATTTTAAAATATTCTTGTGAGGTCAGGGATGGAGAGATGGCTCACAAGCCCTCTTGCAGAGGACCGAGTTCAAGTTCAGTTCCAGAACCCAAGTTGGATGACTCACAACTACTTGTACCCCCAGCTCCAAGGGTATTGGGTACCCACACATATGCACACACATGTACATAATTTAACAAAACAAAAACTTTTAAAGTTTTTATGAGAAATAAGATTCAAATTGATTTCACAAACTCTAAATGGAAAAGTAATAACAGATGAGGAATGAATGACCTACCTAGATCAATTGCTTTCTGGTGCTTACTCCTGACACTCTTTCATCCATGACTTACGCAACCTCCTTTCCTGTCCATCCAATATGATGGTGTGAACTGGCGTCTAAGGCCACTTCCTAGCCTCCAGATTCTTCTAGTTCCTTCTACCACCTGCCATTATCCATGTGGTGTCTTGGAGAGTGGTAGAGTCTGGGGAAAGATGAATCTCTGTGTTGAATGCTTTAATTTATCACAGTACAGATGTCTTTAAGGCATGAAGTAGCTTAAAAAAACGAGTAGAGGGGCTGGAGAGATGGCTCAGAGGTTAAGAGCACTGACTGCTCTTCCGGAGGTCCTGAGTTCAATTCCCAGCACCCACATGGTGGCTCACAGTCATCTATAATGAGATCTGGTGCCCTCTGCTGGCATGCAAGGATACATGGAGGCAGAATGTTGTATACATAATAAATAAATAAATCTTTAAAAAAAAAAAAAAAAAAAAAAAAAAAACGAGTAGAACAGGAAGGCTGAGTAATTATAAACACCTGGGTGGAGTGCAGCCTTCTGGCTGCCTTAACTCCACTCCATGAGTGGGCTGCAGCCTCCCTCCGTGATCATCTGCGGCCTCCATGATTGTCCGCTTCACATAATTGAATGGTAGTGCCATTGCATTCTTAACGATGTAGAAAGTTTAAAAATAATTACATTATGCCTCTAGTCTATCATCTAAAACAAATCATTAAGACTAATTTGCAGCTAATTGTTCATTATAATTATGCTGTTTAATGAGCTCTGGCTGTCCTTAGGCAGTGCTGTTGGTGTTGAGAAAAATTATAGCCACAAGGGAAGATGTCTGAAGATCCACTCTCCAACCACTGCAAAAAGAACTTGTAAAACACTAACACTCAGGTTTAAAACACTCTTAGAGAAAAAACAAGAGCATTTGTCATAGGAAGCACTAACACTAATAGCACAATTGTGATGTGTGATGTGTTGTAGAGTATCTCTCTTGACAACCAGGTACCTTTGATGGTGATTGGGTACCACTGTTGAGTCTTGTCATAAACTTGGGCTTTTTATGAAATCCTATTAATGATGACTTTTACAGTTGACCTAGAGACAGATGTCTCACTACCATCATTTGGACGATACGTCCATGGTTAGAGGGTCGATTTAGTTTGTTATCAGTTTAGATTTGACACAGGTACTTTGTTAGGATAGACTTTGCTGCGTTACTGTTATTACTAAATTCAGAAGCGCATCTGTGCATTGAGGGAGGTGCTCACCTGGGAAATCCACACCGTGTAAAGACCACCATGAATGTCTCTCCTAGCTGATGTTTTTAAAAGTAGAAGTTCCAGGTCATGGTTCAGCCAGGTCTGCTCTCTACCCTTCCCTAGTCACAGCATTTGCCCTATGGGAACACGTGTTCTCCTTGAGAGTCAGTGGAGACTTCTGTGATGGTGACAATGGAGTCAGTCTGTGTGACACACACATCCCAACTAAAGGAACGTATTAGGCTAGTCAGCTGGAGGACTGGCCACTGTAGTTCACTCCAGGGAAAACTCATTATGTTCTGCCTTGCCCTGAATCTGCCCCTCTTGCCTGCTAGCTCAGATCAGGAAGGCCCATCAGAGTGTCTAGTGGATAAAACCCCACCAAAGGTCTGGTCTCAACTGTGCACGAGCCTCCAGATACTGACCTGAAAAACCTTCGGTGTTTGTTAAGAATAACCAACTCTGGGCTAGGGAAATGGCTCAGTCAGCCAAGTGCTTGCCACCCCAGTAGGAACTTGATCCTTAGACCCCAGGTAAAAAGACCAAGCATAGCGATATGTGCTTATAATCCTGGCACTGAGGATGTAGAGACATGTCGATCCCTGGGACTCCTGGACCAGCCAGCTTTATTAATGGTAGAATTTTAGGTCTCTGGTGAGGGAGTTTGTCTCAAGAAAGAAAAAAGAAACCAAAGTGGACAGCTGACCTCTGGCCTCCACATAGATCACACACACAGTTGCACCTGCACACTCTGAGGAATAACCAAATGCACATTGACTTACGATAGGTTTCAGTAGAAGTAGTGGAAGGATTGGGAATCGGGGATGTCACAGGCTGTCCTTCATGTCAGGTGCTGTGCATGGGGTACCACTAGAGGCACACAGAACAACAGAACACTTTCCACAGCTTTGACCAGCACACTCAAAAGGGTTTTGTGTGTGAGAGAGAAAATCAAGATCCCTACACAATTAGGTTGCTCTGTGCTTTACAAACAACTCATGGGGCATTTTAAAGGGTATAATAATTTTAGCCTGCAGGTTTCTTGTTTTCTAACACAATCAAGAGAAGGCATGGTTTAAAGTTATAATATTTTGTCTGCATAGAATGGGAATTTTACTATTATATGATCAAATTATTCTCAACTCCCCAAAGAGGAGGACAGAGTTGTAAGTGCATAGAAGGAGCAAAACCAAATGAAGGGATCCCGTTGCTAAAAGCTCACTGTATGCTGCTATGTGTAAGAATTGTGTTGCATGAATAACAAATGGCTTTGGGTTGGATTTGAAGTATTTTGACTTTATGTTTTGCAAATATTGAAGCTTCAGTAAGGACAACAGAGAAGGAGCAGGCCCAGAGCTTCTCACTTAGCAGAATGTTACACTTCAAATCTGTCCAAGAGCCAGGATGGTGACTGTGCCTTCCAAACCCCAAAACAGCAAGGTTTGCACAGCCCCCCTCCCAAGCCTCTTTCAGGAGAATTAAATGAATCAAGATTTTGCAGAGAAGAGAAGCAGCCAGGACTTGGCAGTACTTGGAATAGGAATACGACAGTCTGAATGTACAGACTGTAACCAAGCCCACTCAACGGCTCTGTGCCTTCACGTGACCATCATCTGTGGCTCCCAAGCTCCGTCCAAATTGGTGTAGGCAGCACCTTGGAGCCATGCCTAAACCATAGCTACTCCAAAACCCTAGAAACTGTAGTCAAGTGGCAGGCCTCACATTTCTCCTTCTTTGGATTGAGAGCTTAGATGTTCTCTTCTGAGTGCCTTTCAGTGTGTTCCCACAGCAAAATTCCGTTCTGTATATGTTTTGTATCCATGTCCAAGGTGGTTTCCTGATACTCTTTCGCTTGCCTTCTATGTGCAGCATGCTCTTCTTTTATGAGACTGTGGTAGAGACTGGAGAAAAGCTGCCGGGGGGAGGGGGGTACTAGGGAGCAGCTGAGGAGCGGCTACCCAAAGACCATCAGAAATGAACTCAAAAGCTGTTCATCATTTGCAAACATAAACTGTGTCCTGATATTTCCTGGTGACTGTCTCTGAATCCTTGCTGCATGATCACATTTGTATAGATATGCCACTGGATTTTACTCCAGTTAAAAAACCCACAATGTGCTTTAGCAGTACAGTGTAAATTCTGTCTGTCCGATGGCCAAATGCTTAGTGGTCAAGCCACCGATATGAATTCGTGTCTTCTAATTTCTTATCTCAAATGAGCACTGTCCCTTCAGAACTGTGGGTTTGTGTTTTGGTGCTGCAGTTTCCTTTCCTGGCCTTGATCAAATCAAGAGAAGAAGATGAAGTGTTTCTATACATTTGAGGTGGTTGTTTTTAAAGGGGTGTCTGTGTGTTTCTGTTATTAATAAACTTTTCATAATCCACAAATGTTTTAATGTGACCGTGCGATGCATGTGAATTGGTATATGTGAAATTGTTCAGGTCAGTGTTGGCTTCAGAAACTTGTTAGAACCTTGAGGTCAAGGTGTTAAGTGAAATAAGGCAGGTTCAGAAAGATTAATACTGCCTGATTCCTCATGTATGTAGAGACTAGAGTGTTATATGAACCTTAAAAGGTCTTATTAATAAAAAACAGGGGAGCCAGATATTGGGGTGAATGCTGAAAGATGAGAGAGATAATACAAAGTACAAGCCACAGCTAACCTCACCTCATCAGCTTCTCAGCTGATCTTGTTTTCTCAAACTGGAAGCCTCTGAGTCCTCATCCGAATGGATCTCAGCCGAACTGCTGCTAAAAGCTAAAAGCTTAAAAAGACTCTAGTTCCTGGTCCTCACATCTTATATACCTTTCTGCTTCCTGTCATGTCATCACTTCCTGGGATTAAAGGCGTGAGTGACCATACCTGGCTGTTTCTATTGTGGCTTTGAACTCACAGAGATCCGATGGATCTCTGCCTCTGGAATGCTAGGATTAAAGGTGTGTGCTGCCACTGCCTAAACCTATGTTTAATATAGTGGCTGTTCTGTCCTCTGACCCCAGATAAGTTTATTAGGGTGCACAATATATTGAGGAATACAATATCACCATACTAGAGCTTACACGTGTGTGTGTGTGTGTGTGTGTGTGTGTGTGTGTGTGTGTGTGTGTGTAGCTCATTAAACTTCAAAGAGGACCATAATGGAGGAAGAAGAGATCTTAATGAGGCAGGTGGGGTCAGGGAAGGGAGGGTAATGGAATACAGTGACTTGAAAGGGAAGAGCAGCCATGTGGGGAGGAAAGAGGACCAGGAAAAGGAAGGCAGTGGACAGGGCAATGACAATAAGAACAAAATATGTACTTTTTAAAGGTCATAATAAAACATACTATCTTCTATGCTAACTTTAAAAAATGTAATTTAGAAAAATATTAAAAGAATGAAAAAAAAACCCTGTGTTGGTAATAGACAAGAACCAGCTTGACAGTGCTGCTGGTTCAGTCGCAGGCAGTCTGTATTTTGCACTTCGCAATTGGGTAGAGGTCAAGGTTGTAATTGGTCCCCGGGTAGAATACAAGCTGGAGGGAATCTTGTGAGAGGTGCCTGGAATGCCAAGTCCTAATGTCTATCAGTCAATGTCAAATAAAGCTGACTGGGCCTAAGATAGTTTACTCATGCCTCATATTCCACAGTTATAAATATTACACACTTGACGGTCTTCTCCCCTCAGATCTGAATCAAGGACCTCCTCTTACCAACTCCGAGGCAATGTAAGAGTCCGCCATACTGTGAGTGCTCTCTCTCTCTGTTTGCAAACAGCAGGACACAAGTGCCACCGCATCCCCTGAGCTGCATTTCATGACTCAGTGCCAAGGCCCCAGGGTTAAAAGTCTGACCACCACATATTGTTGTGACATTGGACAAGCCATTTGGTTTTACTTTCCACAGATGCAAATTATGGAAAAATCAAACCTCCTCACAGTAACATGGGGGAAAGTGAAATGAAGAGCACATACCCAAGAAACTTCAGTACACGGTTTCCTCCTTCTGTGGCTGGTTGGTGTAGCCTATGATACTTTTCATGGACAC